GAGTGTCCCTCATCTGTCTCTCCCTCCCCTGAATTCTCTCTTTTTCTTCTGGACCGTCTCTCCCCCTGGACTCTCCCTCTAGACTGCACAGTTACAGTCTGAAGAAAGAGAACAGTTCACCTGTCTTCCAGAAGTTTACTTTTAAGTAAAATATGTTACCACCGAATCCCCCCCTTTCCCATAGAGTCTACTCCCAAAGAATGGTGATCAGAGTCCAGGAAAAATCGGGTGGACACTATTCCCCTCTCTCTATCTGTCTCTCCCCGCATCTCTCTTTTTTCTGTCACCGTCTTCCTTCCCCTCTCTTCGTGCGAGTGTATTATCAGCGAGCAGTCTCAAGAAGGAACGGGAAAATAAGAACAGTTCCTCCCAAAGAAAAAGAGGAAGAAGCATCCAGGGTGTTAAAACTTTCGGAGTAACAAAGTTTCAGGAATCTCCTAGTGGAATGTCGAGACTCCAGGATGGCTACGTTTATAGCGCTGTTGAGGAATCGAGAACGGTCGTTTGTTCGCGTTTCACGTTTGAGAAACATTACGCATGCACCAGTTATTCCATATTTACCATACAAATACAGTTACACTCGTTGAAACGTGAAATTCGAATATTCGTTACAAACACGACGATTGAAAATTCCACCGTCGTGTCGATACAACAAAACCTCTATTCATCCTTAAATTTATGAAGGGAATACAAAGTGTTCGACAGGTAAAATAAAAAATTACGACCAAATCTGTATTTATCAATCGAACAGATGATTTCTTTTTATTATTCCCAAGCTTCTAGCTGTAATTCTCTCGCAGACACGCGCGTTCTAAACGAAACCGTGAAATTAATGCTAAAAGTCTAATTAAAACCGAGTGCAGCACATAAAAATTATCCAACGTGCATAAATTCACAGGAGAAACACCTGCGTTCAATCGTTTATGCTAATATTCGACACGGGTTCAACGAGATAATCCGAATTACCATAACGCACCATCCAAAAATCCAATATTAACCGAAAAACATTTGCCAAGTTTAATATTGCAGGGCGTCCGGGAAAATAACGCGTTTCTCCGTTAAAGGGTCACTTCTGACTCTGTCCTCGGCCCGGGCCGTCGCTCTTTTATCGTTTTCACATCACGTACATACGCATTTACACGCATTCCGGTTCGGCCTAGCCCGTCGCCGCGCTCGG